CGGCCTGAGCAAAGGCGGGGACGCGGGTCCGCCCGCCGGGAGCCGCTCCGGGCGCCATCCGCGCGGCTGGGGGGGATCTCCCTGCAGCGAGCGGTGCCGCACGTCGAGGGAGCTGCCGCCGGCGCTTATCAGCGCCTAGGTTTACAAAGAAACCTCTCGCGAACAAAACCCAGCGTCTTCTAGATGAACGCTTTTCAAACTAATTCACTACCTTTCCGCGCTTTTTTTCATTACAGATTATGTATATTTTGAGAATTCCTCCAGCAATCCGTATCTCATCAGGCGAATTGAAGAGCTTAACAAGGTACATGAGCATCTAAGACTCCCATTCAACCTTTGTTAATAGTCGGTGCGCTTTTCACCAACTTGCGAGCCCTCTCCATCCCGCAGGATTTCCGTCAGTAGAGTCCTCTGAAAGTTTTGGGCTTTCTGCACATCTGTTATGTGGCTTCTCTCCACCCGGTTACTGGATTGCTGTGTACACTCAGTTATTGAATTCCCGCTATGTGATACACTCCAATCCTACCCTGTTATCTAAGGAAACGCCCAGCTGATCATTCCAGGTGGTCAGGAGTGAAAAATCCCCAGGCCAAATAAACAATGCTGGGAATGCTCGGGAGAGTAATGACTTTAATTCTATGTGTGGTGACAACGGTGCAAATCCGGCTGGAATGATAGTGATCTTATAATGTGCCGGCTCTTGTTTGTGGGCTGTTTTATATATATATATATATATATATATATATATATATATATATATATATATATATATATATATATATAATGACCCTATTACTTGACCATTGCAAATTCTCACTGATAGCTACTCTATATGCATGCATGTGAACCCACACATACATACATATATATATATACATATATATATATATATATATAAAAAATAGTAATAGGGTCCCAAGCTTCTCTTGTGGTTTATTGCACTTATTGGCAACTTGGAACAAAGGCCAGGGTCTTGAATTAAGTAGTCTGTACTCTCTGCTTAATCTTGAGTGTATCTTTACTGTGTTGCTGCTTTTCAAAGTGTCATTTTGAGGGAAATAATATTATTTCTTAGTTCTTGTGCTCCTAAGCATATTTTTTTAAAAAACAAAGCAGCATTTTTTTTTAAATTGTGCCAGGTAGTAGCCCGTTTATCAGTAAACTGTGGCAAAAGCAAACAGTCAAAATTGCTATTGTCGTGTGTAGGGTTATGATTTTTTGTGTGGTTAAAAAATAAATTAGAACTTGATGAACTGTGAAAATATTTTTCTTATTAATTGGAGTATAAAACTACTCCAGCCATGATCCATGTTCTTTGTTAGCACTATCCAATACTACGTTCATTCCTCCACTGTTTGTAAATGGCAAATCAGTTTGGACTTTTATTGACGAGGAATATTTTTTATTTGCAGCAATTAAAGTGATTCCAATGATGTTCTAAAGGTTTATTATCTTCAAATTGTATTGCTATAATTTAATCTTGCTTGTGGATAGTAGAGTCATGTATTGATTTTGAGAGAGGTTTCCAGGATATAGTCCAGATACCTTAATTGTGGATTATGTGCTATTCATTTGTTAAAGGCACTGAGCAAATATGGAGATGTTATGCAAATACTTTAGGAAATGCTTTGGTTGTCCATCTACTGGACACAAAAGATAATTATCATTTTTAATTAAGAAACTCATTTAAAACAATGCTTTATGGTACCACATTTTGAGTTGTCAATATGACAAATAACTTGAGATATATAACTAACTTTCAAATATTTCTCACAAGAAAGAGAGTTCACTTTTGAAAATGACAAAATGACAGAAATCCTATAGTATTTTTACAGGTAAATCTGTAATAAGACTCATACAAACAGTTGTGTTTCTATCTTATGGGCTGACATGAATTTTCAAATAAATGTTACATTAAATATAGTTTCAAAAGCATGGTAGTTTAAGGAATGCATTTCTGTCTAAAACTGGATTATAAAGAAATGTTTGCAAGAATATTGCTTCCTAAAGATTCTTATGTTGGCAGGATACTGATGCTACATTTGCAAGTAAGGATAATATATAAAATTCTTACAAATCTTTTTAATAAATGCAGTCCTGTGAACTGAAATTGATATTGGCATCTAACAGGAAGCTCCTCCTTTTTGGGTAACTGTAGATTTCAACTTTGCCACTCCTATGAGAATACTCATAGGAAAAAATGCTCTAGAACATGTAATCCTTACTGCTCAGCTGGGCAAGGATGGATCCTGACTCAAATTGCCTTTCTTTTCCAGACTGCAAATGGAAACGTGGAAGCAAAAGTGGTCTGTTTTTACAGGCGAAGAGATATTTCCAACAGTCTTATAATGCTTGCAGATAAACATGCTAGTAAGTAGATTGTGCAAAACTTTCTTGGTCTTTCTCTTGTGGCCTGCTCAGGTTCTGAAGTTACTTGAAACTGTTTTTCTTTGTATGAAGCATATGTTTTATATTGGATATTAATTAATGCCCACTTAGATGGCAACATTATCTGATGCTGGCTCTGTTCCTGGTGTTTGCCTTGGAAACTTAAACTGTATAAAAGCAATCGAAAGTCTCAATTCAAATATATATATTTTTTGGTCTGGAAGATACGGGTATTTTCTCTTTCTCATATTAAAAGTAAATCCTTCATGTAAGTCAACTTAAGCTTTGGAGCAGTCATGAGGATCGGATTTTACTTTCTTGGCTTAGACATAAATATGTGTATAAAAGTTTGAAAGGGCTGGAGTGTATTGCAGGAGACTGAAAAGATTTGGAGAGTTGTTAGTAAAGATCATGTGTATTATCACGTGCTTTTATCATGTGCATTAATGGGACATGTAGGTCTTCTTCAGTAATCGACTCAGGGAAAGACCAGCATTGTCTTGCCAGTCTTGCAGAAAAGCAACAAAATTATGGTAACAGGAGGGGGAAAAAGTCCCGTTTTCTACCACACACTGTTTGTAGTAGCAACCATTCAGTTAACAACTGAAATAGCCCAATTTTCTGTACTTCTGCAATTACAAACTCTGAAGATAAAAGCCAGAATCTGAAAGAATTTGAGTTATTTACAAATACTGCACTTAGGTTTGTAAATATCTGAAGAGTTACAATGTTAACATCTTCTATGTCTCTTAACAGGTACTGTTAAAGAATGCAGTTTGGTAATAAATTATACCTTAGTTTTCAAAATTAGTATGTGAAGACATATTTTAAGTCTCCAAATATTTCATAATGTATCACTATGGATATCTTCAAAAATATTATCTAATGCCACATTTCTTGTGCAGATACATGATGGAGTAATTATACTCTTGGGAAAGCATGTTGCAGTTTAAGGTTGAATTCTACTGGTTGTACCTCTTCTGATTCTGTATTTCTAGAGAAGAGAAATGACCAGATTTGGGCTTTTGTTATATTCTTTCATTGACCTAGAGAAGCTGAAATGATTTGAGTAGGTGGTCTATAAATTGGTAGTTCTGTAAAGAAGCACTAGATCTGCATTTAAAGCAAGTAGAAATATCATATAGACAATGTCATAGTTTCCAGTTCTCTTCCTTATGCTGTTCTCTAAGCTTAACTGTGCGGTATTTCAATACTAGCGTTATCTTGGTTTACCTTCTGGAAGGGTTGATGTATTTGAAGTGTTTTTTGTAGTGCAGTTAGATACGCTTGAAGTTTTTTTCTGTCTGCCTGTTTGGTAGTGTTTGGTCCCCACAGTCATTGTATTCTTTGAATACTTCCGTGTGAAATGCACAGAAACATGAATGTTCTAGTGAGTTTCACTGCTTTGTTTGTTTATTTTCCATCATGACAAGGGGAAGGGAGGAATGGAAAGGATAATAATTTCATTGGAAATGCATTTTTTTTTTTAAATTTCTTTTTAAAAGATGGGAATGTTAGTAGGCATAGTTTGATCAGAAACAGTGAGGAAGCTTTTTCCATTTCCCGTGTGAACTTGCTTAGATTTTCAGCACTTTGATGCAAAGACTTGTTGATGCTCCAGAGCTGCCCAGGGAGGTTGTGGAGTCTCCTACTCTGGAGGTCTTCAAAACCCGCCTGGATGCCACCCTGTGCCACATGCTCTAGGTGTGCCTGCTTGAGCAGGAAGGTTGGACTAGATGATCTGTAGAGGTCCCTTCCAACCTTAAATATTCTGAAATATTCTGAAATATTCTGAAGCTCTCACCGTGGCACACTTGCTGCTTGGTGTCAGTAGAATCACCAGGGAATTTTCCATCCCATGGTTTCTGCATTGAAATTCTCTTTTTTGTTTTTGCTTGTTTTCCCCCTTCCCTTTTCCTGATAAGAAGACACAATTTCTGGTTGGTTCAACACGTATCCTTAGAATGCCTCTGTGCTGGGAGGCCATAAGGCTTGTCAGTCATCACTCTCATGCATTAGGTTTCTCTGTGGACTGGACAGAACTGTCTCTCTATGTGATGTTTTCCCCCTCTCTGATCTGTGGGAAATCTGTACAGCGAAGGTGTCTTTGGAGATGCACGTTCCAGTTCCAGGGGGCAGCACACGGGGAGAGGTTGTCGTGCTATATCTCCTGTGCAGCTCCAGGAGCAGATGTATTTAAATGTCAAATCAATTTAAATGTTTTGATTCTGGAATACCACAGTGTTCTGTTGAAAAATATAGTGTATGTAAACAAAACATTGGGATGTTTACGAGCTGAATGTTTGTGTCACTAAACATGTCGAAACTGCAGCATTTCTACCTGTTTCGCTATAAAGGGAATACCAGAAGACAAGAACTTCTCACAGAAGGTAAATTCTAGTTCAGTCAGTGATCGTTCCAGTGTATGTGTTCAGTGAACCCCAGGCATCAGTACAGATTAGGGGTGGACCTGCTGGAAAGCACCTCCACGGAGAGGGACCTGGGAGTCCTGGTTGACACTAAGTTAACCATGAGTGAGCAGTGTGCCCTCGTGGCCAAGAAGGCCAATGGCATCCTGGCCTGCATCAGGAGGAGCGTTGCCAGCAGGTCAAGGGAGGTGATTCTGCCCCTCTACTCAGCTCTGGTGAGGCCGCACCTGGAGTACTGTGTTCAGTTCTGGGCGCCCCAGTATAGGAAGGACGTGGAGCTTCTGGAGAGGGTCCAGAGAAGGGCAACCAGGATGATTAAGGGAATGGAACATCTCTCGTATGAAGAGAGGCTGAGCGAGCTGGGCCTGTTTTCTCTGGAGAAGAGACGGCTCAGAGGGGATATGATTAATATGTATAAGTTCAGGAAGGGAGAATGCAGGGAGGAAGGGGACAGGCTGTTCTCACTGGTGGCCAGCGATAGGACGAGGGGTAATGGCCACAAGCTGAAGCATAAGAAGTTCCGTCTCCAGGTGAGGAGGAACTTCTTTACTGTTAGGGTGACAGAGCAGTGGAACAGGCTGCCCAGGGAGGTTGTGGAGTCTCCTACTCTGGAGGTCTTCAAAACCCGCCTGGATGCCACCCTGTGCCACATGCTCTAGGTGTGCCTGCTTGAGCAGGAAGGTTGGACTAGATGATCTGTAGAGGTCCCTTCCAACCTTAAATATTCTGAAATATTCTGAAATATTCTGAAGTGTTCACCTTGAACCTTTTCAAGGGAAAATTAATATTCCTAACAATGTGCTCCTCTTCCTTGTAAAAGAAACTGTCCTGGCTAAGGTACTTCTCAAAAATTTGGGGTGGGGAGGGAATTTTTTTTATTTTTGATGACATTTATATTTCTGAAACCTACATTTCATGATGTAGGTCTTGGTCCCTTCTAATAAAAAAGAAAGTAATCTAATGCAAAAATATTCTGGAACTTTATTTAAGAAAAAATTTTCAATAACTCAGTTTCAAAGGCAATTTTAAAGTACCTTTGGGACAAATGGAATGAGCCGAGTCTGTGATACCTACACATGCTCCTGCTAAGAGTATCCTGCTGCTTTGAAGAAGCCTTCAAAAAAGGTTCGAGATACATATATTTAAAAAAAAAAATCAAGTTTTTCTTGGGGCAGACAAGAAATTCTTTCATTTGAGTATCTGATGCTAATCTACAAGGAATTGTTCCTTCCTCTGATTTTTATCTGGTGTTCCTGGTGATTTTGATGTTGTCTGGGTTAACATAGCATTTTATTTGTCTACCAGTGTCATGCCAGTGTAGGTCTGGGAAGAATTATGTAGCTGCTGAAAGCTGAGGGGCTCTGAATGGCCTCTGAAGACGTTATTTCCATTTCTGCTGCTCTAAAGCAGGGTGGGATAAGGCCAAAGAAAGGGTCACAACAAAATACTGGCCCTCAGCAGCTCCCTGCGAGCAGCGGCGCAGCGTGCAGTTCCGGCAGCGTTGCGGGGTGAGGCATGTTTTATGGGAAAGGAGGGGACACGGGATGGCGGGGGAGGACGGGCAGTACGGAGCTACTGCAGCACAGCACCGAAGGGCCTAGGAAATGAGCGGGGCATGGGGCAAAGCAGAGCTTATTAAGGTGGGACGAGCAGCCACGGGGTGGCTCCTGATGAAATGTCCTGATGTGGCCGCTTGGGAGGGAAGTCCTCAGGTGTTGCTGGATCTGTGAAGTTGGTCACCTCTTTAATACCCGATGGAGTTGATGTAAATGTTTAATGATTAAAATCTGCCATTTTTGCTAGCTGGGAAGGGGACTATACTAACCTCATACCACCACTAATTTTGTATTCCAGTGATGGACTAAATTCCCATGTTTCTTCCTTTGGTACCACATCTGGGCATTGTTACTACCCTGAAGCCGCCCAGCATGGCCTGAGTGCATGGGGCCATTTTTCTACAGTTCCTTCAAATTCTTTTGTCTAGTAACATGCTGTTATTTAGCACTCTTCCATTACTCTTCTATTGCAGTTCCTTAGACAGCTTTTATCTCAGCAGCCTCCTGGGGAGGGTATAAAGAAAAAAACCCTCCTGCCATCAGGCACCTTGCCTTGCATTTGCTGAGCGCTCACCTTGGCTCAGGCGTGCGGTGCTCCCGGCTGCACTGCCGGGATTCTTCTGGGAATATGTGATGTGTGGCTAAGCCCATTCCACGAGGATTTTTTTTCCTGACAAACAAAATGGTGCTTTTATGAATGACCAAGGAGTGTAAAAATAATCCGTCGCATCTTAGTTTCAGTAACTGTGAGAGCAGCTGTAAAGCTGAGATATTCTGGAAGACAAAAGTGGTAGTTAGGAATCTGTGCACTGTTTTTTTTCCCCCTTTATGTTCTGTGTGGAGATGACTTGCTGTCTTTACTTTTTGCAGCTATATTTTTACTTTAATGATATTTTTCTTCCCTTCGGCACCTGAACGGTCACATTTCATGTCTCATTGCTGTGCAGGGTGGTTTGTCTATTATAAACCAAAACTTTTTGCACAAAATACAGGAGGG